AATCTATTGAACTGTGCTTTATCTGAGGGACTTGCGGGGAAACTGGTTGGTTACAAAGCTTGAGGGTGTGTGCACATGACCACCCACTGGGAGCAAACACTGTGCCTGAAAGTCAGCAGTCGTGTTTAGATCTCCCTGTGGCAGAAGTAAAATAGACTTCTTCGGGCTCTGCTGTTTGGGTATGTCATTTCGTCCTCAGGTTTTAGATCAGGAGGAGTGGATGCCAGCTTTTCTCCTTCCTTTTCTCCTTCCTTTTCTCCTTCCTTTTCTCATTTGTTCTTTCATAGAGTAGGATTACAGATAGATAGGGAACAGTTTCCTAAACCTTCTGGTAATTGTGCAAGGATTTTCATTGTTTTCAGTAAATGAGAGTTGAGGGCAGTGCTTTCCTTCTGGATTTTTGATATATCTTCTCTGATACCTTGCCTATTAAGTTACATACACACATACCTTGGCAAGTATGGCCTCCTGTAACTTGAAATACCCTCTTGGATTATTTTTGCAGTTTTCCCTTATGAAGCATAATAACACTATGAACTAATGTACTATATCCCCACTGGTCACGGATATCTCAGTAAATATTATTTATAAGTTAAACAGATTATTTTTCCCATCTATGCAGAGTTAGTACACAGCTATGTAAATGTATGGCTGTATATATTTAGCTATGTGAACACACTTGAAGTCAGAGGGTGGTTCTGTCCAAGTTAGTTAACCAGGCTGTTTCTTCATTCTTTGCTCAACCAGTTGCCACTCTAATATTTTGACCCCCTTTATTTCTGGTAAATAGCACACCAAAGTGCAACATGAAAGAGCTCAGATACAGGGAAAGTGGAAGCCCAAGTCCCAGCATTTATGGAGTTGTGGTCTTTTGGAAGCTGGACATACAATCTACTTCCAAGAAAACATTGTCTGCTTTTGATTAAGATTACAAATTACAAATTACATTAGTCTAGCTAGCACTGCAATGCAGGAAACACTAATTAAGATGTGTTTTGAAATAGAACACAGGATCTAAACAGAGTTAATGAAGTACTTCATGGAAAAGTAGGACACCTGGTGCCAAGAACTGGAGGTGATTGTTTTTCCTTTTTTTCCCCTTTTTTCTCCCTTTTTTTCCTCCATTTTCTTTTTCTCCCCCCACCCTCACCTTTTTTTTTCTTTTCCCGTTTCTGAATTTAAAGAATTGTAATCAAAGCACACTACTGAGTTGATCTTTGTGTACAGGAAAGATCCTCTACTATTAATAAAATCTGCTGTAGGGATTTACTGTGCCTGTATTCTCAGATAACAGACATACAGAACATATATTGAACAGATATTGTAAGTAGAGATGTACTCTTAGAAGGAATCCCCTCTGCCCATCTACAGTGTTGGTTTTTTCACCTTTATGGCAAGGCACCCAACGTATTTCCTCTACTGACCTGTGTAGTAACCATTATTTTTTTATTCCTCAGGAACCCCAATGAACATTGAATTTTACATTTCTCCCTATCAAGTTTTGGAAGCAGAACTAAATAATGGTAAAGCTATTTCAGCTATTCTGCTGTTTCAGCAGAAATAGCTAACAAGAGTTTTTCAATACTACCTGTTTCATTAAGCAAAGTTAATTAATGAAAGCTCAGAATTAAAATTTAAAATTCTAGTTTAGTAGAACAATTTATGTGATGCATTTTAGCACAGTTTTAATGTCCATCAGGAAACTACTTTCCATGTCTTGGTTGTTGATTCAGCTATTGCTGCTATCATCTTTGGGCAACTTTGGCCTTTTGGGTGTGGTCAATGTAGGCTTCTCTTCACTGCCCACACCACTGTGGCTGTCAGTTTGACCTGACCTTCCAAGTCCTTACCATTGTATATTTTGTACACATAAGATTAATATACACTAAATTAAGGAAAATAATGTCATTCTCTTTATCCCTAAGGTTCCCAGGTATGTGGAACAAAAACAGTTGTAACTGTTGAAGGCACAGATACACTCCATAAACTGCCTCTTTCTCCATTAATTATAGATCCTCAAGCTGGAGAGGACAGGTGAGGCTCTGGACACTTGTCAATACAGCAATGGATTTACAAGTCCCTGACTTCCACATAACTTATATTCAGCCTCTGCTGAAACAGTTCTGTTTTATTTATGGCTTTGTGCTCCACAGCTACACCATCTATAATCTGTGGCTTTTATGGTTTTCCCAAATGGACTTCGAAGGTATTGTGTTCATATTTAACTGTGTCAGTTGCTTTGAACTATGAATTTATTCATAGATTTCAGGCCAGAAAGAGACACTGGAACAGTATTACTGAACTTCCAATATTCAACAAGCAAGTCCTTCATAGATTCACAGTAAAGAAAGCATATGTTGAAAGATATTACACCTAAAATACACAAAATAGTTTGTCATCCCACTATGGGTACTGACACCTCATCTCTCTCTACCTCAGTGTTGTCTGGAGGGGAAGTCTGAAGTAACTTTCCAAATTAAATACTTTAAAATTATTTGTAAAAAACACCACTCAGTTTCTGTGTCTCACTTTTCCTTTCTGTGGGTTTTCACATTAACCATGTTTTAAACTAATAAAGTTGCATTTATATAGCAAAACACTTCTCAAGCCAGAAAATGTATGGAACATAATAAACTGCTAGGTACCTAACAGTGGCCTTGCATTTAGAGTCCTTGTTATGGCAATTTCTGTAAAAAACCTTTCATTCTGACAATTTTTTCCTAGTGACCCTGCTTTTTTGCAACTGACTGATGAACTCAGCATGGATTTGCCAGCTCATTTTGTTCTGAAGTTTCATCAGCCTGTTCCAATGTCTTCATCCAGTATTGAAGAGATACAGAAGCTCACAGGCATGTTATAATTGCTTTTTAAGACTAAGTACTTCTGTGACTATGCATTGCTTATTTGCTTTTTGCTTCCCCATGTTGAAGTAGCAAGAAGTTGCTTCTTGGGCAGAACATATTCTGTTCTACCAGTCCAAGAGTAACAACCAGTGCAAAACACAAAAATTCTAAGAAAGATGTGACAAAGGTAAAGTTAAACACTCTACCTCAAATTCCCAATAGCAAAAAAGGGGAGTAAGAAAGCAAATCAGTATTTTTGTCTTTTCAAAATATTGGGTTTAGTTTTTAATAGTAGCTTTCATAACCTATTGTCTTAACCTAATTGCTAATAATGACCTGGTTTCAGGAATTCAGATTTCTGGCTTGAAGCTAGCTCCACTGTATGAGCTAATTGTTCAGTCTACTCTTAAAGAAAAATGCAGTGAAGACTTGTCTACAAATAAATCTTGTTTCTTTGTGGTAAGTATAGTGTGCATCTGATACACACTGTGCTGTTGTGCAAGATATATATACTGAATTACCATTTCCCCATAAACAAGCAATGTAGGTTTCCCAGAATCCCAACAAAAGTGCTCTTTAGGAAATAGCTCAATTTACGAAGCAGTATTAGAGCCTTTCATGTAAGTGAGCTTTTCATCCTCATTAATAAAACACTGTGTGCTTGGCTGCTGAAGTCACACTAATTTGTCTGTGTGTAACCCAAATATTTACTCTTCTAAAAATTATTCAGAACTTTATCATTAATGCCTTAAAAAGAAGGGAACTTGTTGACTGGTGTGAGGAGCAAGTCCCAAGAAGGTACTTACCTAGATTTTTGAAGATCTTTATCATGCTGCATGTCACACTGTTTTAACAAAAGGGGTTTCTTAATTAGATAACAGTGGGACTATTGATTCCTCTTGAAGGGACTAGCAGGAAGAAAAATATAAAGCGTTACAACAGTGAAGCCAACTGCTATCTAGAGACAAGGCTGTTTGAAGAAGGCTTTCCTTTTAATAACTGCATTATTGAAATACAGTTGCTTAGGCTGCATTGGATGTAAAGTTTTAGAACAGAAAGCTGTGGCTAAGATGCTTTCTGCCAGATTTATGTACAGGGCAACTACACTAAAAGCTTCAAAGATCTACTTTTTTATTTGCTAGGAAACATTAATTTTGCAATTCATGGCAGCAGAAGAAGAGGGTACTTTTTTCTGTTCTACTAGCAGTGTTTGTAGAGCTCATTGCCTGCTTAGTTCTTGGACCTTGAGGTGGTGGTACAGAAGGTAGTAGTAAATTTGCACCATGTTAAAATAGTGTTTGGTATAGCTCTTCTCTTCTGTGCAATGGAATTAATCTTTCAGTTCTATTAGATGCACATGAAAGGCACTATAACTTTTCAACAATTCCCTAAAATATTTGTACTTGGTGGGAGGTTTTACTTCTGAGTTTTAAGATTTTATATTTAGAATTACTAAATTGCATTCTAACTGTGAAATGGGTGTAGGAAAAATATGTTTGATCCATGAACACACAAGGAAAAGCTCTTCAGCCTTTGTTAATGTAGGTCCTCCTCATTAACTGCCCTGCCCTGTTCTTAAGGGGACATTCCGTTTGGCATCCTGAAGTAGGTAATACCATACTCAATTTCTAATTTTGTCATAGAATCACTGTTAACATGGACAGGTGGTAAATTTTTCTTACTATTTCCTCCTCATCTTCAAGTGAATCATCAGGAGATATTCCAGCCAAACATATCTCTCCAAAGAAAAAGTAGTAGTGATGGAGGTTGGAACAACATCTGATGTCCAGAAGAGATGTCCAGCAAAACTGCTATCCTGTTTGTGCAACTGTCAAGCAGCATTACTGATATTATTTTGGTCACTAACATTTTTATAGCCTATAGGGCTCTGAAAAGTATTTGGAAGAACTGATGACACTTGAACCCCTGACCACTTGGCTCTGGGTATATTTGCCTAATTTGGATGTATTTGGGAGGGAAAGTGGATCTCATTTAGCTTCCACTAAGTATTCTACTAGAAATGCATAGGTACCATGGACATGCCAGAAATGTATCTTTCAAAAATATTTTTGTTGTAGATTGTACAATTGCCTGATAACATCAAGCTTTACTTTCTTGTTTTCAGTCCTTGAAACATCACCATTCTTTGTTGCTTAGTCTCTTCCAGATCATCCAAAGCACTGTTACTTCATAAACAAGGGCTCAGAAAAATCAGTTGTAGCAGGAGCCTTGGTCAGTAAAATCCCATTTAGCCATGCAAAGTGTGTGCCTGGTGTGATAGAGATTCTTCGACATCAAGTGGCATATAACACTCTTATTAGCAGCTGTGTCTCTGAGAAGCATATAAATGAAGGTAAATTGTGTGGCTGCAAGTGATGGCGCAGTATTAGAGACAAACTAGTTTCTAAATTGGGTGTTGACAGATTTTACTACTCCCTTCCCAAAACTGTCATTACTTGTGAAGAAAGGCAAATGATAAAAAATTCTTAACACTGTATTGATTTTTAAAAAAATTCTATGCTCATTTTATGTACATAAATGAAGTTGTCGAAGTCATGAAAAATTAGACTATTGTATCAGTATTTTTAAAATTCTGGCATGTAAATCAGCCAAAAAGAACCAATCTTCAATGGTGGATATCACTAAACAGTATTTTTATTTTTAGATGATTCAGAACTGCTTTACTTTGAAGTGGTACCACACAAGAACACCAGCTTTTCTGTCTTTTTCCTTCATCCTGTGAAAGAGAATTTAGCCTGTGGTATGTGTGGAATAATTGCTACTGTCCTCTTTACTGAGCTGACAGGGGACTTGGTTCTACCTAGGCTCTTGCACTACATTTCTCAGTTACAAACAGTCTAAGGGCCACTCAACACCGTTCAGCCCAGGAAAAACACCAAGTACATGCACTTGTGTATAAACTGCTTACTCGAAGGTGTTTTGTACTCAGAATAATACAGAAAGTAAATGCAAATATTAAAGTCCTGTTTTGTCTTGGCCAGCATTTAATTAATAAATTGTAATTTCCACTATTTCTGATTTAAGTATATTAAGGAAAAGCAAGTCATGCAAATATATTGCTGCAAAGCTCTTTCCACTGTCTTCAGTCTTACACCTCTTCAAGCATCAAAATGAAAGAATGCTTTTTGATGCTTGTAAGTATTTCAAACCAAAGATTTTTCTTGTTCTGTTACTCCTTAGTGGTAATTGATGTTATAAGCTCTAGAGAAGTCCAATGTCACCTTCATTTAAATCCTCAAGATCCAACTCTAAATTCTACTGATGACTTCATAGCAAGAGCTGTGAAACGGTAAGTTCTTTAATTTCCTAACAGATGTCCATCAAATGGAAATATCATGTGCATTCATAATGCCATGAACTCAGCAACTGGAACACTTCACTTTAGTAAAATGCTGTAATACAATAATGGGAATAAGTTATTTCAGTGTCTTAATTATCTCTTTCAAAAATTTTAAACATTAACAGTGATGAAGTATTTCTAGTAGAAAGCATGTGGAAGCAAAGAAAGACTATTGAGTAAGGGTTTTACTTTTTATGAAGATGCTTTTCAGAAGACTCTAGCTGATAACAGTCTCATGACTAGTATAACTTAAAATAGCATGGAAAGGTCTTTTTACACATCTTCTTAACAGCAATCAGTGCTTCTCTTCAGAAAGTGAGTTGTATATGGCATGTCTACAACACTGACTCTGGCTTGTTTTCTGAACAAATTCCAAAAGAGTGAGTTGTTGTGATACATGAACATAGGCTAGACAAACTGATTCTGAACAGTCTAAGAGCACTAAGTGATTTGGCATAAGCTAGTACACATCTATTATCTGTTTGATGACAACAAAACCAATGCAGGTTGGATTTTGAACCTGAATTTAAACAAGGTACTATTTTTGGAACCAGGTTAAGAGTGGGAAAAAAACTCTTCCAATATAGATGGTGTTTTAGAAAAGATACCTTCTGTACCTGTGTTACACAAAACACGAAGGTTACAATTACAAAACTCAAGAAGAATTAATATATTTCAATATTCTTAGTTTTGGTTTTCACTAGAAGTACCCTTATGACTTTTTTTTGTTGACCAGATTGACCAGACTGAAAGACCTCCCACTATTTCAGTCAAAGCTTCTGTGCACACCTAACTTCAAAGACTCAGCACTAAATTTCAGTGTGTCAACATATATTTCTGGTACAGCATATGTAGTTTGTGTTATGGTTACAAAGTAACACCAGGTTGTAGAAGACAAAACCAGAAAGGAGTTAATGCTGGTTTTCATTCAGGTGCCAGCCACAGTTTAAAAAACAGAAGTACTTTAAAGAGCATCGTATGATGTCTGTAGTAGTAACTAATGTGTCATTTCCTTCTTCAGTTGCATGTCAGTCCCAGTTGTCATGAGAGCTGTTTTCAGGAACGTTGCCAAGGTGAAAGCTGACAGTGAAACACAAGATATGGACGCAGAACAACCTGGACCACAGCTGGAGCAAACTACAGATTCTGACAGTCTCAAAGAAAGCCTTTCTGGTGCTGGTCAGCAAGACTGGGCAGTGAAAGATAAGCCAAATGATACAGAGACTACAGAAGAAAATCTCTCTACAGCCAAACTGGAAACTCTGGGTGATAACATGGAAAAAAAGTAGCCCCTCACTATACACTGAAACCTTGTGGAGGAAAGCAATTCCATAGCTAGTATAGAAGCTGATATAACAGACAAAAACCTGATGGTTTTATAAGCAAAAATGAAGCCTACTTAGTGATTTGCACATGGTATCTCCTCTTTGCAGACTTTTAAATATGGGAAAGTAATTCCCTTGAATCTGCATTTTAAAACATCCAAATCTGTAAAGTCTAACACTGTTCTATTAACCTTTGTTTTGTCTTGTTACTGAAAAACTAAAATATCGTAGTGGTAAACAAGATTCCCTCTAACACTGTCTTTTTTATTGTTAGAGGGTAAGGCATTACTTTATTCTTGGTCAAGAGATAGGTGTTCCTGACAAAGTTCAGCCTCAATGCTGATCCCAACACAAAACTTTTTTGCTTATTTATGCATTTTTTGTGAACAGACATTAATGTTCATTGGTTTAATTTACATAATTCTCTTCATTAATTAGTATTCTACCCCCTATTAGTTATTTATTTCTTTCTCTTCATGCTAATCTGGTCCACATCCTTTATTCCTTCTTTTATCTTTTTCTCCAACTTTCCAGGCCTTAATCTCCTCCATATCTTCTGGTTACTCTAATGTCCTTGAAGGGCCATAAATTTAAGATCCCAGAGGCCCAATCTTCAAATTCCTTTGCTTTGTTCATTGAAGACAGTCGGGCTTAGTTTTAACAAACTCAAGGTTTCAGTGATTTAATGATCGAAGTAGGTCTGTGAAGAAGCTTAATTGGTGTTGGCTAAAAGTGGGCACTGCTTACAATTAGTTAAAACAACTAATTAAAAATTAGTTAGGAAAATTATATATATATTCCAACACTGCACCATTTTCTACCAGAATATGGAAGAAATCTGTATTTTACATGATACAGTCTATAACACAATGCAGGCATGTGAAGAAAAGTAATGTTTATCCTGTCAATATTATGCTAAATAAATTGAAAAAACTTACTTGAATGATTTTTGTATATACACAATTAATGCAGACACCCCTCTTTTTCCACTATTTCATAAATGCATTCAATCTAATACTCTGAACTGCAGTTCTGCTTACTCCTAAAGGAGAAGTGGTACAGAAAGGAAACCAAAATTACAGTCTGTCAACTCTGACAGGGTAATGGAGTCTTTAGTAAGAATGTTGTATAAACTCAGGCTCTGAAAAACAAGGAATTTTTGCCTTAGATTTTTTCTGCCTTTAAGTATGAAATGGTTTTGTATGGGTTTTTTTTTTTCAATTACAGTTTACTGTTCAAAATCTTACTTTGCCTAGGTCTGGACTTCCTTTGTCTGCAAAATGAATGAGTTACTGGAAACTTCCAACAAGTAAGCTGGGAACTTACTATAAATCAGTTTAATTAATGTAAAACAGAGGCATTTACATAGAAAAAACTTCCTGAACAGAGCAATTTACAGCTACAGTGAAGGGAAGCAATGGGAAAGCAAGTCAAATATAGAATAGTTACAGAAATACAAAATGATCAGAAATAGGCATGTGTGGCTGATGTGTTTCTAAGAGGTAGTGAATAAGCTTGGCTTCCTTGAAGAGTTTGAGAAAAACATTATTGGAATGCAGGAAAGAGTTCAGGCTAGATGGACTGACAAAATAAATACAAAAATAACAAAAGGATGTTCATTAGACTGGAAGCATGTTTAGTGTGGTCTGACATGGTAAGAGTAGATGTCTAAAAGTAAAACAGTGAATTGGCAGCAATTCTGTATTTGAGGAAAATGGTATGTTTTCAGCAAAAGTGACAAATATAACTATACAAGGAGGGAAAAATAGTTTTTAACCACGAAAGTGCATTGCATCATGGGTAGAAAAGATAACACATGGAATTTGACAAAAAGTGACTACAGAGTCACAGCACTCTAGGAATCAGCAGCATTACATGTTCTGTTTTGCACACAGCATATCCTCAACACCAGCTTATTCCCCAAAAACACTGAGCATTTCCATAGCACTGAGCAGTTATTCTTTTGATATTGCAGGGGACCAATTTAGAGGGGCTATTTAATGGACCCACTTCATTTCCAAGCTACTGCCAAGAAAAAAATGAGGGTGAAATGGGACCTCCTGACACAAAACAGAAACATGTTTAGTAACTCTTTGTAAAGCTTTAAAGCCACTGTCCCTTTCTGTGAATGTTACCTTTAAGGGTGAAAGTGAAGGGTTTTGTCCAGAGCCAAAATCATGGTGAGGATTTACAAAATTGACTTCTACTATAAAGCATCCAAATTAGATTTTCCTAAAGCAAAAGTGATGCATCAGCCTGTACATGGCCCACAAACTAAGAATCAAAATCCACTGTGATAGTTTGAAGTACCATGAGACAGAAAAACTAATGTTCCAGTTGCTGGACATGATGGAGTACATCCAGTGATAAGCCCAGTTGCTCTACTAACCAAAGAGTCTGCATTTTAACCCAAGCAAGGGTAGACTTTTCAGGATCTGTGCAGAGGTTTGCCTTGCTGCACTCAGACTGCAAGGAACCAACCTCACCATTATTCCTACAAATGTTTTCACCGGAGCTGCTGCCACAGTCGTTGTGTTTTCCATCTTTAACTTCCCTGTACTCTGTCCCAGCTGTGTGATTAAGGTCCATGTCCTGAACTGAGTCTAAAATGTGTCCCAGATGTGGCTGTTCTTCAGTAGAATTCAGATACTTAAGCACGTCATCTTCATGCTTTCCAACCACATCAAGAAGATTATTTATCATACTTAGAGCAGAATCATGTCCATTAAAATGACACCAGGATAACAGAGCACTGAAAAGTGAACAACAACAAAAGTGATTATATTTATCTATGTAGATCTCCGCTTGGTGGAGGCAGACAGACAGCAATGTGACAAGATATCTATGCATCATAAATACATTTATGTATAATTCACAATTTATGGAAAATTCAGGCAGTAGAACTAAATACTAAGCTTAAATACATAGATTCAGACATTTTTGGAAGAATAATTGAAAGAGAACTTTTAGAAATTGTACTTCTACACCCAGGTAGGCATTCCCTGTTCTCAAGATGTGGGAATTCTCAGGTTGCTCACTTCGGACAGTTTTTTTTGGTTTGGGTTTTTTGTTTGTTTGTTTTGGTTGGTTGGTTTTGTTTTTTAATTAAAACAAACAAAAACCTGTATGTGTGTTACCCTGTTACACACTCTCCACATACACTTGACCTTAAGGAGCTTGTAACCTACTTCAGGGTTCCTTTGAACTGGCCACATGTAATCATCAGCTCGGCACCGTGTCTGTAACCTTGATTAAAGCCTGTCTGGAGTGCAAGTTCTTTCCCAGCCTCAACTCCATCCCTATAGCCTTCCTGTAACAAAGCAGTGAAAAAGGTTGCTCAATGTCACAACATGACAAAGTGGACCTCCAACAAATACATAACAATAATAATAAAAAAGTTTGAACAGGTGTCACATCTCTTAAGTTACAGCTTCTATATCTGAACATCCTTCACCGCTACACCCCCACTGCCAAACCAAAACATGCTTGTTGCAGTATACTATGATTTACTGACCCGTAAGATGCAGTTTTTTACTTTTCCTAAAAGGATTCCCAGAAAGTGAGAAAAGAGGGAAACTTCTTTTAGAAAGATCAAAAAAACCTCCCATGTTTGCTTTTAATGATTACCAACTGCTTTGTGAGAAAAGAACTTAGAAAAAAGAAGTGTATGTGGTACTTCTATCTAAAAAGATATGCAGGCTGCCAATCTTCCTCTTTAGCAGAGGTACTCTTCTATCTGTAATCCATCTACATGGAATCCATTTATTTTCACAAAATTAACTGCTGAGCATTGCTCCTTTATTTGCTGGACCTCACTCCATCCAAGAGCTATACCAGAAAAAGAGACAGTGATTGGTGATCGACTGAGTCATACATAAATACACTTAACATGGGGACTGCTTTCTTTAAGTAACCAGCTAATGACTGTAATGCAAATTACTTTCTTTATATTATAACAACATTACAAGATTAATAGAATAATTCTTAACTTTTTTTCATTTCAAAATTACAAGCTACAAAAGTGAAAACTCCTATTTGCTCATAGTGGCCCTGCTAGAAAAGCGGTCCGAAACACAAAATTTATTCTGCCCCACATACAACTCTTAACTTCAATAACACTTCATGATTTTGCAGTATCTACTCAAAAATACCAGAGGGATTTCTGTAAGAACACTAAACAGTTCCTTAAGAAAACCAGTCTTTCCATGGGACACAGATGAAGGAAACTCCACTGGGTCTGCTGTAATACCATTCCTCATCTACTGCCTACACAACTGTTTCCATCCATGCTCTTCAGCCAAACGCTGCTCAACTGTGAGCAGAGGAGCCCCACTCTGAATGGCACAGGATCTGTCAAACTCATCTGTTTGTGAACTTGCTTTGTTCCCTGCAGAACTGCAGAGGCAAGGGCTGTGCAAAGCAGCTTTCACAAAGTGGGTATTTCACTTGGAGAATATATCAACCAAAGACCTACACAGACCACAACGCCCGAGTGTGGTTGCACGTGCAGTCACACATCTTACATTGTGGCTCATGAGCAACTCTACCCAAAACCCCAAATGTCTCCTATTTCTTTATTAGCACTGTTCAGCTCTGTTGCCCTACATTTAATAGGCTATACCTACAAGTACAAAGCAAGTAGCTGGCATCACAATTCAGCACTGCCTTTTATAAATGCACATGGTTGTGCAGAAGGAGTCTTTAGCCAAAACAGTACTTTGCTCTGGTGACTGCTAAGTAGTGTTTATGTACATTTCTGCCATATTTTCCTGATATTCAGAAGAAAGTACACCACAATAACTTTTAAGCAGCCAGTTTTACTTTTGCCTTTAAGTCATTCACATGTATATTGAGTTAAATGTCAGTAAATCTAAAATGCTAAAAAGTATATTAAAAAATTTTTACAAAAATACCTTCAATCTCTTTTTCATAGTGCTGTTCCATTCCTTCTGTAGTAGATACATTTCATCTGCATCTTCATCAAATATATCCTCACTGGATTGGCTGACTGCTACTTGTACCCAGGACATAATAGCAGTGAACTATGACCTCTGTTTATGTGTTAAAAAACCACTTAGAAACTCTCAGAAGTGCCTCTGGTGAAGTGTCAGATTAGAAGTATTGGTAAAAAACTGAGCTCTGAAGAGAAGCCAGGTACGGAGCTGATTATTCAAGCTGTACATGGGAACTCGGTGCTGTGTGCCACTGGGGTGCGTCTGTCAAGAAAAGGAAGTCAGATCATAGTTCGTAAAGCACTTCTGAGATATATCAGGGCAACTTATGATAGCCCTAATATATCTCACACATATGGATGGCAACGCAGCATTTATGAATACTGCCAGTACAAGGACAGCTGGCAGAAACAACCTTATGACTTGCTTCCAACAGCGGCTGACAAACGTCCCATACAGCCGCCACGTGGTGCCCTAAAACAAGCTGTATGTATACACACAACTTTGTGTATTTGTACCGTGTACACAATCTACTACATGCAGGTTAATACTTGCAGAGTTAATAACTGGGAAGTACCTTCACCTTTGATTTACAGTTTTCTGATTATGCCAAATGCTCAACTATCTCATAAAACAGAAACAGTCCTTTCTATTTTGAATAAAGAATTAGCAAGTGCTGCTGCAGTGGAAAGGAGAAATTTTTGGGTTATTTAATCTTTTCCTATGACGAAAACTTTGAGAAGCGTCTCACAACTAATTCATTCGCCTTGCTGTAAATTGTTAGAACACAACGACACTTCCTTGCGGAGACACCGGCGGCTCTCAGAGAACCCAGGGCTCTAGGACACAACCGGCTGCGGTCCTGCAGCCTGCGGCGGGCAAGCGGGGCATGGCCCAGCCCCACAGCCGGCCCGGGCCGCAGCCAGGGCCGGGCCCGGCCGCCATTTCACGGCCACGCCTGTGCCCAGCTGGCCAGAAGCGGCCGCGCTCCGGGGAGTGTTCCTTCTGCCCCGCCCGGCCTCAGACGCTGCCTCCCCTCGCCTCGCCTTTCCGCGCTGCTCGCACGGCCACCGCCGCCAGCCCGGCCCCGCACACTGACCCTCAGCGCAGCCGCCGGCACTCGGCCATCTTCACTGAGGGCACACGGACGCCGGCGGAAGTAATTGCGCAGCGACAGCCATGACGTCAGAGCCCGTCGGAGACACTGGAGGCGCCATCTTGAGTGAGGGCGCAGCTCCCTCCAGTGGCTCAGCCCAGCCTTG